CCACTGAGCTGTCTTCAGCTGCATTAATAAAATCTACATTAAGGTATCTATCATGCTGGTCAGTGACAGTAGAGGATCTTGGAAATTGCAGGAGGAATTTCCCAGCTTCCTACATAATGAATTAATTAAAGCAGTCTCTTTGTGATCTGAAATGCTCCTTCCCAGATTTCTCTCCACCTGGGCTAAGCTGCTGTTTATGAGATAAACTGTCCACTGACTCACCCAGCATGCTCTCTTGATTGTGTATATCTGTGTTCTCTTCCACTCCATTTCCAGCCTGCTGTACGGTCTTTCACAACTGGCTTCCGCGTGCTTCCTTTTGCAGTGGAACTGAACTGGAAGTCAAGCTGATGGTGTGGGATTATGTGGAGGTGGAACCAATCTGGGATCAGTGCAAAATGCATGCGCAGAAGTGCCCTTGGGCATCTCTCTGCATATGTTTCTGAGAACCATGTGATGTGAGAGTGCTAGATTTGTACTGTTGCAGCAATTCTATTATCTTTCAAATACTGTACATACTTTGAAAATGACAAGCAGTGAGGTTCTGGCTCCTACTTCAACTTGATGGGAGATTGAGCCCTCATAACTAATAACGTTGCAATATTTAAAAAAATATTGTCATCCAGAAAAAGCACTGAGAAATTAATTAGTTGGGGAGTGTCAGGTTTGAATGTGACGGGGTGGCAGCCCGTGGTTCCCAGGCTGAAGAGAAATGTTATATGAACCTATCTGAGCTGCCAAGGCTGGCAAGTAAACTGCTGGACATCTGTTAACTTGGAAAGGTGTCAGGAAGAAAACTAGAATTTAACCTATGGAGCAAAGCCTGTTGTACAGGCATTGATTTTTTCGTACTGCAGAGGGCATATGGCTCTATTTTGTCTGCAGTACAGAGTCTATTGTGGCTGAGTTGTATCTGAGTCTTTTGCCGAGTAAGTCTATTCCTAAATAGAGGGTTGTGGGTCTAGAGCAGCCTTTCTCAATCTTTTTACTCTGGAGGAACACTTGAAGTAATTTTCAGGCCTCTAGGGAACACCTGTATAAGAATTAGCCAAAAATATGAAAACTTCATAATACAGTTCACTTCTCACCTATACAAGCCACATTTTACAACAGCGAAGCTGAAGACCGGCAACTGAGTCATGGCACGTAAAAATTCCTACCACTGCAAGGGCCAGCAATGTGTGGCATGTGAAGTTCAAAAAACAAAGGTTTGGGGGGTTTTTTTCAATCATGGTCTCTCATGGAACCCCAGTTAATAATATTGGACAATTTGATATTTTTATTATGGTATGATTTTGGAAATTAAGTAGTACATTATATTATATTTAATCATTTAACAAATTGTGTTCAAACACTCTAAATGAGCATGATTACATTGGAATTATGTTTAAATCAATCCCTATAACTGCATTTCCAGAGCATTTTTGGTGCCATTGCTTAATACTGCTCAACTTTTCCTGATAAATAATATTTGGTTCTTGACTTGATAATGCAGCTATAGGATTTATTCCTCTGATATAAATGTAGCATTTATAGTTTTTTTAAAAATATGTAGTTTATGCTGTCCTATATCTTACTAGGAAAAGCATAATAAAATAGGATGAATATTAATTTAAATATTGGATACAATCCACCCCAAATTCAGTAGGTTTTAGTTCTTCTGATTTCAACCTAGAAGTTAAAATATCATTTTATACATACATACATATACATATACATTCTATACATAGAAGTTAAAATATCATTTACTGTACCTACCTGAAAGAAAAAAACAAGATTTGGTTCTAAATGATTGACCCTTAAAATTGGAGGAATCAACTAACATGGTAAGAGGTGGATTAGGGTTTTTTCCCCTAATTTTCCAAGGGTGAAGTTTTAATTTGAGGTTGCTTTCTTTCCAAATAAATACAGTCATATCTGTCCACTGAAGTTATTTGTTCAACTGTGATTCAACTCATAATTATTTGTGGTTATAAAGTGTTCTGCACGCTTCCTTTAATCAGAGGTAATTGAATCACATTATATTATTATTACTGTTAGTTTTTATATATTTAGGCAATTTGAAATTAAAAGCATTTGATTGTAAATTTATAAAAAATAGCAACCAAAAGCACAGCCAACAAGGGCCAAAGGTCTCCCAATATTTGTAGAATATTGTGGTCTTCGGAGGCACACAATTTAGTTGTTGGTTGGTAGAAGAAACGAGGTAGGGAAAGCACCCAGAGCAGGGCTTCTGGAATTTTTTCTACCACTTTACCAGCGTGGCCGTAAGAGGCATCTTATTTTCTCCTGTATAACAAAGTAATGTGTTCTATCTACCTGTCTTGTGTTAATGCATGTGTGCCTGTGAGGGTCTGTTCAAGGCAGGTGCATATGTGTTGTGTGTGTGTGTGTGTGTGTGTGTGTGTGAAGGTCTAGTCAAGGTAGGTCATTGTCTCCATGTTTGGTATGGGTGGAAGGCACAAAGCAGGCTGCAAATGCTCTACTTTGGAGGTAGGGGACAGGCTTTAGAATGGAACAGTTGGCAATATTCCAAGTCATTGTTAACTTCAGGGGGAATTTTTTCTGGATTTTTTTTTTCTCTGCAGCTTCCAATTGGATCCAGCCCATTTTCAAACTTTGTTGGCTTCTCTAGCCATTCCAAATTCAGCCCCTTTCTGTTTAGTGTTTGGAGATTTATCCTGATGGACATGAGTCCTAAGCCCTTTACATACTTTCTTTCAACATTCTGTTGGGTTGGAAAGAATGAAAAGGAAGAATGAGCATTGCAGGAATTGTCATTTTTAAATCTCTCACTGGAAGATATATCAGGAACTGAAGAATATATCTTGTAAAATTAAAAAAGTCTTCCTGGGCTATATGCGACTTCTCAAGTGTAGAATAATGGAAGAAAAGGATTTTTTCTGCTTAATCAGTTTTCAGATTCTTCCCTCTACTGCCCAAATTACATGAGATTTTAAAGGCATACAGTATTTTCAATTACCTTTTTTAGAATGCAATTTTTTAAAACTAGTGATAAGACTAGCAACTAATGGAATTGGAACTGGAGAAAATCCTCTTTTGAAGCTGCATAGGCAATTAGGAAAGAGGATATAAAAGTAGAGATGGATCAGAAATTTGTCACATGAGAATTGTTAGAAGAACAGTGATTTAGGACTTCTTTATGAGAACTTGAAACTCATGTAAATATGATGTGACTTGAAAACCTAAAATAGACGCAAATTTGTCTGTTAAAGGAAAATATTCACAATAATATGCATTTTCGCAAAAAACATCCTGCTGCAATTCATTGTGGAAAAATTGCATGTAAAGATATGTATATTGAGAAATGCACATACAAATGTACATATTTGTTAGTAAACTTTCTTCTGCGGTCATAAACAGGATTAATCGAGCCATTTAGCAAAAGAAACAAGGGAACCATCTCTCTAGGTAGAAGAAACTTTTCATTTCCAGACATTTACAGAAGGCAACCTAATTTGGAGCTCCAACACATCTGCTGTCAGTTCCCTTCTGTAAAATTAAAATTTGCAGATTAGAACTTCTTTTATTTATTTTTTTGGGGATCCTACACATACA